TTTAAGATATTGAATACAATAAGGAGACTTACAACAATAATTGTTCTTATTCACGAAAGATATCCGTTCGAGACATGTGTGAACAGGTAAGTATAAAAAATATGTATGTACAATAGACAAATAAAACGAAAGAAAGAGAGAAAGGTAGGGCAGAAAACGTGAGTAGATTATGTCACTGTACAATATATTTCATTGTTTATATATAGTATATCAGAAAAATATTAGAAAAAATTATAAACTTAAAATATTAAACAATCATAAAATAATATTTTTGTAAAATAATTGAACAAGAAAGTTAATTAATAAAATAAAATAATAATAGTATCAATAAAATGTATTCAGTTTGTGAGAAAAGAAATACATAAAACAACGCAAAACGTTTCATATTAATCAAAGGTAAAATATATATGTTTATCGAATTATGAGGCATATTTTTTTATGTAATTGAGTAAAATAAGAAATTTTTCTTATAAGCAATACTTTTCATATTGATGTTTAAAAACATTTTCTAGATATAAATACCTGTGATATAATTTGTTTAAGTGAAGAAATCAAGAATCTAAAGAGAAAAATGAATATTGTTTTTTTTCGAAAATATGTTTTAATAATTGATAAGAATTACTTTTGTTTCTTATCTAAATATTTTTACAGAAAAGTGAAATTATTTTCATATCATAATAATAAATCTTTTGAAATCAGATTAATAATATTCATACTAATATCACAATTTTAGTATTATTACACTTCTAATTATGAATTTTAATTATCATCTCTAGAATAATGTTATTCAACACTTATTATACATCTCTATAGATCTAAGTAGTCCTTGTACTTTTGAAAAAAAACAAAATTTCTATCGAAAGAAATTTTAACTAACTACCATCTATTAAATATTTTATTCACATAAAAGTACATTATTCTTTAATTACATATATTTTTCTAAACAATAGTGCATTCATATTAACCCTTTCATTTCATCTATTACGTATTATTTGTATAAAAGAAAATAATAAATGATGCGTGAAATAAGCAAAATAAGTAACGCCTATTATCAAAATATTATTGTATTTTGTTAAAATCGAAAATATATTATAAAACTAAAGAAAAAAAACAAATAGGAGATATTTTATATGTAATTGTAAGCAATGAATAAATCTATTTTATTCATCTTTAATTTTTATTTCTTCTAAGTTAATTTAAGATACAAATAAAAAAAACGAGATTTTAATAATTTAGATATAATCGATATTTTGTTATTGCAAAACTAAATGAAATATTTGTATAAATTTTTTGTTTTGAATACATTTTGTATTGTATACAATCTGAATAGATTTTATTTATCGTTTATTTTATTTGATACATTATCATTTGTTTTCATATTATGACAGTTTGGATGATTTATTATTTGTTTTGTTATATTTTCACTCTTCTTATGTATCGTCGCTGACTGAATATACATTACTTTTTATATTCTTATTTTAAAAATCTCAAAGTTAGAGTATATTTTTTGTATTATAAATTGTATTAAGGCACATAAGGAAGGTATATACATATATATTTCAATATATATTGAACATTCTATTATTATTGTTAATACTTATTTTCTATTTTATATCATTTGAAATACAAGATATATTTTCTATTATATACAATTATGTATATATAATATTTCTCATAGAAATAAACTTGTCTGCATGTAAAAGTTTATTGAATAATTTTATAATAGAATAAATTTAAAAAACTAATCTACATAGAGAAAATTAGCAATTAACAAACAAAAAAACTTTTGAATAACAAAAAGAAATCATTTTAATTTTATAAAATTGATTAATACAAAATTAACTCTTGTTTATTACTCTTACATTTTCTAAATTTGATTTATTTTTCAAGATGAATTTTTGTAAAAATGCAAAATATTAGAATTGGTTAATAAAATATTTCTAATAGAAATGATGTATCTTTTCTCTTATTTTACTTTCAATATGAGTTAAGTAAACAAAATATACATGTGACTAATAAAAGAACAAAACAAATATGTAATTATATGATAGAAACTATTATTTTTTTTGTACAGTTGGATACTATAAAGTAGAATATGAAAAATTTGAATAACTAAAATAATATTTATTTATTAAAATATTATAAACGACATTTATTATGTTGTTATTATACAATAGAAATTATATAAAAGAAACTTTCTTATTTTTTTCTCTCATAAGAACATGATAAACTAATTTGTGTTTTGTATTTTGTATTATTAAGTTTTCGTAATATTTATCAAATAAAAAATTTTGATAATATATGAAATCTAACGATTAATATTTTAGTAATTTTATTTATCATTTAAAACTATACTTTTTATTTACTTGGTTATTGAATATATATATATATTAAAATTCAAAACTCAACTAAATATTTTATTTTGATTTTCTGATGGTATTTTATTTCAATACAAACGAAATACTATTAATGATGAAAATCTTATAAAAATATTTCTATGTATTCATCTTTCGTATTATCAATAAAACTCAACCAAGATAATTCATGTGACAATTATATTAAATTAAATTTTATCTCTTTTTTTTTAATTTTATTAAGACATTTAATTCAGTTGAATATTAAAAAGTGGATACTAATATCCAGATTCACTAGCATCTTTAGTTTCATACTGAAATGTAAATTAATCGAATTGTTATGTTTAATATGTAGATTTTATATCTTTTCAAATATATATTTTTCTTATCGTTAAAATACAAAAGAAAAACAAATTGATATTTGATTTTTCTCTTTTTTTTTCCTGATATTTGTAATTAATAACTAAATTCAACTCTTTTCTAGATTTGAAATTCTTTTATCTTTTTCTATACATTGTTTGCATTACATTTTTACAGTTAGTATGACTAATTCATTCGTTCTCAAATTAGTGTATACGATGAACAGCCGAAAAAGATGTTTATATACCATTATTATAAAATACTCATTGATGACGAAGAGAGAAGATCATTTATTCCACTCATATATGTGAGATGTCTTTCGTATTATAGAAATGTAAATATAAATGGTAGAAACAATAATTCACATTCCTACTTTTGTCAGGAGAGAATAAACATGTTCTTCAATACATTGATTTCTCAATGATCATAAACTTCATTTAAACAATCATATACAATCCATAAAATATTTATTTTCACTACTTTTATTCTTTTGTATAAAGAATAATATGGTAAAAAATTACATTTGAGTAAAAGAATAGCACGGCTTGTCCAAACGTAACGCTGTTACGTTTTTGACACATTCTTCTTCAATTATCTCGGAAAATGTAATAGCTAGAACGTTCGTTTAAACGCCATTCGATGCAGCTTATCGAACTCTACTTATTCTATAAAAAAGATATTTTTTTGCTGAAGCCTTGGATATCTATAAGGGTTACATTGTCGCGTAACACTGTTACATAAAAAGACCCTTCTTCGTCAGTACCATCAAGAAAACTCTAATTTCTTGCGATATATTTTGTTTAAAATAAATGCTCTTAGAACTACGTTTGTAGAGCTTTGAACGAGCTTTCTAAAACCAAAAAAAAAATTCTTTTAGCTATTTTTATTTGTGTGTAAAATGCAAAAAACAAACGTAACGCTGTTAGACACTTTTTTGTGAGCCATTTTTGAGGTAGTTAATATCGTCCGAATTATTTGAATTTTATAACGTTTACTCATTACTGTGTAGATAAGCGTCTACTAAAGAATCAGATTAATTCATCCACGAGGGAGCTCAAAAACTGGACAGGAAGTTGGGGAGGGTATTGGAAGTTAAAAGCTGTTACCAGCTACTAAAATCAAAACTAAATAGGCCATTTTGTAGAGAATCCAATTCTGCATTGAATGATACGTCTCTTGAAAAATTTTGGAAAACTTTCTTGGGTAGAAAACTCGAAATACGATTTTTCTAAAGTTTAAAACCCAGTTTTTGATATTAAAATCTGAATTTTCTATAAAATGAATCTCAGATTCGTAATCAGCGTTAAAAACTGCATCTAATAGCTTGTTCAAATCTGTTCAACTCGAAGAAAAAAATTTTAAAAACTTGATCGGCGAAGTGTCGCGTTACGTGGACAAGCCGAGCAGCCCTTGATTATACATATGTTCATGATTTTACTTCTACGACACAAATAGACAGGTTATCTTTTTTTTTATGTTACTTCTAAGACTGCATAGGTTTCAATTATATTGAGTTTCGTGTCTATCTAAAACTATCTTTTGAAATTTAACCGAACTTCTTTTGCATTTAATTAAAATATTGACACAAATATCTAACAACATAAATCAAAAGTATTAACTAGTTGACATCTATGAATACAAAAATTAATTAGAATTATTTTTGTTTAACATTGATCATTATGTTATGAATTCAAAGTATTCTTGTTTTCAAGTTAACCTTGAAAATGATCTTAGAGAGAAATATCTATATAAATTATTTTTAAATGACATTTATGAATATTTTATTTTTATTTATGTTTTCTGATTCGATCATCTAGTTATGTTAAATAAAAAATTGTTAATCTATACAAACTATGATAATATACATTTTATTGTAATACGTCTCAATTGATCAAAGATATATCTTACATTCGTTGATTATTATTATTTTGAAATGAATAGAATATCCATTGAATACATATCGAATATCATACAAATGAAAGTATTGCATTAAAAACAAACCGATTGACGGTTACTTTGCAAATATAATATTTATGCAGATCTCAATCTTGTAAAATATCTCTACTATTATTAAATATTTAATCTCTTTCATCATAGTAAACAATTCTAAATAAACAAAAGAATTTAATAAATTAAGCTTTAAAATGTTTTGATAAAAATACAGTGCAAAAAAAAAAAATAAATGAAAGTTTAAATGAAAAATGTCATATTAGCAAGTTTTCATAAGAATATCAATATTACCATATCCATTATTAGTTGCAATAATATCAGTTAAATTATTATTGTCTATGTCACCAACAGCAAGTGCAAAAGGATGTGAATTAAAGCCACTAGAGAATATCTGTTGATTCATAAAACTTCCATTGCCATAACCAAAATATACACCGATATTACTAGTTCCATAACTAGCAACAGCAATATCTAATCGGCTATCGTTATTAAAATCGAGAATAACAACTGAATATGGTTGAGAACTAACACCAGTAGAATAAGT